CGTACAAATGAGCGTTCTTGCTCATTTTGCCTCCGAGAAATGAGCAAAAACGTGACGGAAAACATGGAATTTTGGCAAAATCTTGCACCGAAGTGTCTGATATTCAAATTTCGCTTTCTGGGCCAAAACTACTCGAATTTCCTGACTCACGTTGTTACGACTGAATCGACTTTTCAATTCTCTATCCAACGATGCCAAAATGAATTCTGTGGCTCGAATGGTTCTTGAGAAACTTCGAATAAAGGCCATTTAAATTAATTAATTAAGCCATTAATTTAAAAACTTTCCGGCAAAGGTACGTTGTGTCATTGCCTCTGAGACTCCCTGTATACTACATATAACTTTGCGAATTCACTTGGGCAAGAAATTTGTTTGAGGGTCACTCACTCTCGTCTCCTCTTTCACCTCTCGATCTATTCTGGTCCGGAGGGGGGCACCGTGCCCAGTATGGAGCCCGACGTAAGCTGATAGCACCTCCGTTAAGTCGAACCTCTTAGTCGCTTTGGAACCGCGTTTGTGCACCGGTGTCGTACTTTCATTTTTTCTTCAGGTAAGTGATCGATTTCCATCGAACTGATCAGCGAAAATTACGGACTTTTTGTGCAAATGCCCAGTTTGGCTCGATTTTCTTCATTGGTTTTAGTCAGCCCCACTGGTTTGGATTTCTGGCTCTGGTTGGGTTCTTTCTTATTTGGTTCCAGATTAGTTTCTGGAATAATTTGGCTGTTTCCTGTTAACTGTTAAAACCATGCGAAATCTTTTCATCTATGAAGAAAACTGATTTTGTTGACAAAAACAGTATTTTCTTGGCTTTTTAACGCAAAGTTCGACAATTCAGGTGAATATTTGCACCCATTTGATCATGGATTTACGATTGAAAATCGCGTTTTAAAGTAATCAGCTTTTCCCTGTTCAGATATCTTAAAATTCAATTGAGGTGCATTGAACTTTTATCCAAATCCTCTAGAAATGCGATGGTATTCAGGATAAACTGGCTTCTTCAGGATTAACCTGTCGAAATTTAAAAGGCACTCAAGTAAAATAACTTTATTTAATAAAATAGTGAAATAGTTTGCGACAATCGTGCGAACCATCAGTGATTTTGGGGTTCGGAGGTAGTCGAAGCGAGCAGCTCTGAAGATGCAATTGATTAAATGACGATGCAGGCGTTCGCTTTTAAGCCCGAAAGTCCAAATAAAGGATTTTGTTGTTTCTTAGCTAGTTTAAAAAAAGCTGTCGTTGCTTGCAACATGTTGAAGTAAAGCATTGAAATGCGGCCAACGGAAAAGGAAAAACATAAATATCTGGAACGAAAATGTTTAAAATACCTTTCAGTTTCCTGATTGATATTTGCAAAACGCTCTTAATGAGTTTAATTGGTTTAATAAACCTGCAACTATTAACGGCCGATCGGTAGGAAAGCCCAATTTTTTCGCTCAAAACGCTTCCTCTCCGGCAACTTTTAATTAATAGAGAGCTTAAAAGGAGCGCTAAACTTGCAGCTTAATTAAACCGCAAGAGAAATATAATACAAATTAGAAAACTAAGACTTTGAATCTTTTGCATTATAAACATAATTAGAATAGAAAATGTGCAATTCTTCTCCTGGAAAAAAGCGCAATTGTATGCTAAAAACTTTGGCTTTTTAGACGTGATTCAACACTTTTGTCATTGATTGATGCTGCTGATCTTTTAATGATAGATTTTGCGTCCCAAACCAAACTCTTCACATTTATTCAGCCACATTGAACATCGATGCGGTTGGTAATCCAAACCGAGCCAAAATAGACGGGACTTAATTTAAACTGAAATCCTTTGCGGGTATATTTAGATCCAAACACGCGCTGTTAACAGCAAATATACGTGGCTGAATCCTGGCGTGCTTGTTATGCTTCTTACATAAACAATAATAAACATCCAGAGCAATGGATGGACCAAAATATGTTCAATTGATCCCTGGAAACAACTACAAAGTCAAATAATGGCTGGGAAATCAGCGCAATTTTCAAACTCGCAGCCTGAGGATCGCAATCTTCCTAGTCAAAAAGTTCAGTTAAAGCAACATGTGGAAAACCAGGCAAAAAGGAAAATTTGGACAAACATGTGGCGGGTAAACTTGACCTAAAGCATTAAATGCCACTGGGTTCTTGCGGGTACTTGATGCCATTTTTTCTTCGCTCACCTTGGCACCGCGCTCTTTTATATGGACAGTCATAACATTAACATTGTTCTTGAATAATGCGAAAAAGTCGCCGGTAATTAGGTAATAGTGATTTATTGATCGAATGGGAAATTCACTCCATATTTGTAAAGCACTGGCTGATTTCAGTTCGAAAGGTTTTAGAGAACAAACGTGCGTTTTTTTCTTCAGGATTTCATAGAGTTATCAAAGAGTTTTCCTGAATGTTCCGCAGTTGAATATCTTCATTTTTTCCTTGGTAGAGTAACCGCTCAAACCAACAACCTCCACCATGGACGCGATCAAGAAGAAGATGCAAGCGATGAAGCTTGAGAAGGACAATGCTTTGGACCGTGCGGTCTACAACGAGCAGCTGGCCAAGGACGCCAACCTTCGTGCTGAAAAGGTAAAACTTTGGAACCATGAAAAATTCGCATAACATTCTATTTTAGGACACTTTTACGTATCAATGATCCGAAGGCTGTTTACAGCTAATTACGAGATTGGGTTTGATTCTTAACAAGCAATTTTTCACTTCTCTGCCATTTAGGAAACTTTAGCAGTCTTCGAAGAAGGCAAAAAATAGTAAGGATGAGTGAAATCGGGGTATTTCGAACTCACGATTCTGTCCACTTTTTTTTTAGTTTTTCTAAATTTTTTCACAAAAACCAAAGCGGAAATAAATTTTAAAAACTATAACATTGTAACCCAAGATATTGATCAGCTTGCCATTTGATATACGCAAAGTTTGTAAAAAAAATTGTGTTACAATTAGGCCGAAGAAGAAGCGCGCCAGCTCCAGAAGAAGATCCAGACCATTGAAAACGACCTCGACCAGACCCAGGAGCAACTCACCCAAGTTTTGGGCAAATTGGAGGAGAAAGAGAAGGCGCTCCAAAATGTGAGTACAAAAACTCCGCGACTCTAAATGGGGAAAAGCCCAGATTTATCGCCGGATCAATGACATAATCAATATTTCCAATCTCTAAACAAGTTCCCCGCAAATCGCGTTCAAGTTACTCAGTAGCGGAGTTAAAAATAGCGCCCGACGTCTAGTCGCTACCTTATTTGGCGCGCCATCGCTCCTCCATTCCCGTGACGTCATCGTTTATCCTCTGCTCCCCGTGACGTCAGCAAATCGCACACCTATCTGGGTCAAATGCAGCCATAATTCATCGCGCATGCAACCAGCAATACAACCGCCTGTATCAGGACTTGCCGACTCGCAAAACTCCTATACAGCATTGCCAATGCGCGAAGAATTTCCCTGGATGATGATGAGAAACAACTTCCAATGTAGCCCTGGAAGCTTTCAAGTTTCCATGAATAAATGCCAATGTCATCAAGGCATATCATTTCATTGCGCTCTATTTCATTCAATAGCCCAGTAACCAAATGAATTAAAATTAGTAACAAATTAGTATTTTTGGGGATGGACGTTTGGCAATCGCGCAATCGAAAGTGTTGCGCTGCCTAGGAAGGTGGCGCTCCATGCGCTAGTTCGGCCAACATGGCCGCTAAGTGTAGTGAGTGTTAGTTTCGTGTCAACAAAAAATGTCAACAAATCGCCCCCCTGGGTCCCTTAGGAAAAGGGGACACCAACATCACCCCCGTAATGAAGGCACCAGACATAAGCCGCTTTTGGAACCAGTAGTTTTGGCACCGTTGAGTGTGTACAGTGTGGATAATGTGTTGACAAATAGAGAAAGGGGGGCCCAGCAAACCAAAACATTGCAAGAAAATGTAAAAGTTGAAGAAACGCGAACGGAATTGGGGGGTGACAGTAGTAGAGAAGCCAATTGTGATATTCCAGTGATAGATTTAACCCAATGTGATGATGACATAGTAGAAGTTAGGCCCGATAACTTAGATTCTAATGCTAGTAGTAATGTAGAACCGTATGTGGCTAAGAGTTTGAAGAACGACAAAAACCAACGTATCAGGAAGTCGAGGAAGAGCAAATCCAAGCATGAGTCGTCGCAAAAAAGTGTGGAATCTCGAAAAGCCGTCTGCCAGAGCGAGTTGCTCTTCGCAGAGGACGATATGTCTCTGGTGCAGAGACCCGAGGCCGAGGGCTCAAGTTTAAGCGATCAGGAAACAGAAAAGTCTGATCTGGACCCCGAAATGGAGGAGTTATCCAAGCTACGCTGTACGTCCGAACGGACCGAAGTGTTAGCCGAAAAGGAGATGAGGAGGCGAGGTCGGCGATGTGCCGACTATCCAGGCCTGGCCTTCAGTTCCATCTTCAGCTCTGACACCCTGATGAAATTCAGCATCATCAAGAACGAGATACAGAATATCATGAACACCCAGTTGAAAAGGGTACGTATTTTCTAGCCTGCGCCCAGAAATCCCCAGTCATGCTTTCACACGCTCGCATATTTCACCGAGTGGAACCTCAGCAATTTGTTTACAAGGTGACTTAAAAATAGATGTTCGCATTTGAAAGCCAACACTTCATGCAACATATGGTATTTGGTGCGTTTACCCGATCCTAATTAGATATTTTATCTATGGACTTTGAAGCAACAAACATCAGCTCCTCAATGATTGAGCTTTATTTACATGTTTCGGAAACTGTTTCGATTGATCCTAATTAGCGGGCATTCTTTACATTTGTTCAGTTTATGGGGTTCAGGGATCAGTGCTTAAATCAGTGATTAAAGCCATTTGAAGTTGTTGATTCGTTCGGTGATTGGTACTAGTTTAGTAGTTGGAAGATAATTTTTAAATGGAATGCAGCTTTTTTGAGATGCGGATGGTGAAAACCGTTTAGATGAAAGGGTCACACGGAATGAATCTACTATAATACACTTATAAAATAGGGGAAACATCGACAAGTGTGGATAACGACTTTGTTAATTACTTAATGATCCCGATCCAAAAACTACACCCAGCCATATCAAGGATGATTCACCAACTACCAAACTAGTCGAGACTAGTCAGCTTTTAGTGTGAAGTAAGATCTTGTCTTTAACACAATAATCTTGAGCGCGTTGGGCATGAGGTGTCTACAGAAAAGTTCTAATCCTCTCATTCGATCTAAATTATACTCTTTCCATCAGGGGCGGAGCCAGCTTTAAATTCAGGGGGGGGGGTTATGTAGAAAAAAATACAGTCTTCTGTTGTCTATGAAATTAGAAAAATTATCGTCGTTTTGTGCAAGGGTGGCGTAAGATTATTGCAAAATTTCATGTTTTC